GTGTTCTTGTGCCCTATATTTTGGCATTTTAAATGCATAAAAGATGTATCTAAATATCTTTATTAAGCTCGCCAAATCTTAATCAAATTTTCAACTCATTTTTGTTCAAATAGAAATCTTTTATGAATGAGATTTAGCAAGCTGAGGGTTTCTTGCGATAGTGCTAGCTAAGCTTCCATGCATTTCCCTATTTTCAGCCACTAGTTTGTGCTAACTTTTTTTTTTCAAAAGATTGAATTAGTCCTTTAAAATTTGGCTATATGAAATTGCATTTTTGGAAATAAGTAAGTGCATTGAAAGTGCCAAGCAATTTGTGTGCATTCTGCGTGAATCTACCGAGCTTTTTTTTTGCTTAGAAAAATAGATTGCCTAGGTTCCTCGCAAATGGATTTTGTGAAGCCGATGACCCTGCATGTTTGGGGAAATTTTATTGATTTGATATTGAAATTACATTTAATTACCTGAAAACAATCCGGCGCCACTATGACTTGAATGACCTCCACTGCTGCCAAATCCACCGGACGTTCGACCACTGCTTTTACTAAGTCCTCCACCTAAATTTCGTAATATTATTTGAGATTTCTTGTTGTTTACCCATTCGACTTCCCGAAGAACCTCTTCCGAAGCCTCCACCACCACCTCGGCGACAAAGATGTGGCGGAATTAATGTCGAGCAAAGCAAAAGGAATAGCCACCACCGTTTCATCTAAAACTTTGCATGAACAAAATTTGTAAACCAAAATCGATCAAACAGATAGTTGCAAAAAAGAACATTTTCCATTTAGGTTGATCATTTTAAATAGAAATTATGAACGGCATAAAAAGGGTAACTTATATATAGAGAAAGTGGTTGTGATGAATCACCCGACAAATTGCATTGACAACTAAAAATAGCCACTTTTGCTGATGTAATTTCACAAATTCGCTTTCTTATTTAAAAGAAATGCGTCACCAAAAAAATGGCTAACTCAAAAAAAGTCGCATAAAGGAGTTAGGCAAGATACTTTCCCATGGGAATTGGGCGCTTCCGTCGTTTCATTTCTTCTGAAAAGATCCACTTCTGAACAATGGCAACAAAGGGGATAAATAGTTTTCTTTTCAAGAGACTAGATATTCCTTTATTTGTATTGTTTTTTATAGAATTAATGAAGAAATGTGAAACTAATTTTTTGAGAAAGACAAATGGCTAAAGGTGAATTAGATGGAAATTGGGTGCGCCTTTTTGGAGAAGAGAGAAAGGCCCGTGAGAGGATCGATCTGTTCTCGGGGAGAGAATGTGCCCCGCTTTTCTTTCCCAATATGAACAAATTGAAAGGCCGAGAATAATAGACTCTGCTTATCACCTTGTTTACCCAAAATTATCACGTTGAATGGAGCTCAGAAGTTTCCCCCAAAACAAATCATTCAGGTTTCAGGTTAAAAACTCCAAAAATTGTCAGTTTCAGAATCAGCAGTTAGTCAACCAGAGATTAGTTAACGGAAAGGAAAAAAGCTCAAATATCAAAGAACAATAAAAAGTATTGCAGTTGAAGTCTGTTATAGTAGCCGGATAACGAATTGGCAATAAGTTATAGGGTCAAGCTTTTCAGAGTCAACCGACATTACTATGCAGACTGAAAGCTGTTTGCATTTCACTTGCTGCAGTAGGAATTTGGAATTGCAACTTGCAAACCTAGTGTAGAAATGTTTTTATTCTAGAGATAAATCATAAAGAGATCGTAGAGGTCATAATCATAAAGATGATTCACAATACTTTGCACATCTCTGTTGTTGACGGAAAAGCAAAATGATGATGAATTTCCACTATGTACTCAATTCCATCCAATTCAGCCTTTCTTGTGTGGATTGTGAAAGATCTCGGCCTCCGAATGACCCAAAATTTTTAAATACCCCGCAGAAGTCCGTTTTGAGAAGCTGGTCAGTTAATTAATTGAAATATCGGCTTATACTTCAATTACTTCCGCTTAGACTTACTTCAAGATATTCGGTTGATTAACTGAATATCTTGAAAAGAATGACAATAACTACAAAAAAACTCCATTTGAGTTGCGATTGTAAAAAAAATTGTCCAATTGATGTAAAGTTCATTAGTTCATTGGTTTGAATGTTGTAAAGTTAAGATACTACCAAGGTTATCAATGTGACCCTACAAGAGTTTCCCAATGACGTTTCCCCTTTTGCCTATTTCAACAATTGCTTTTTCTCTTTTCTTTATGAGGAGTTATAATATAAGGATTTTTTTAAGTATTGGGTTTAGGATTTGTTTCGTTTATTGTTATTTCAATTTTTGTATCTTAATTTTAAATGTTTATATTTAGAAGATGGGTAAGAAGGTCAAAATCGGAAAGCAGCGACGGGACAAGTTCTATCATTTGGCCAAAGAAGCTGGATATCGGTCTCGAGCCGCCTTCAAATTGATCCAATTAAACAAACGATTCGAATTTCTTCAATCATCTCGTGCACTTGTCGACCTTTGTGCTGCTCCTGGAGGATGGATGCAAGTCGCAAAACAGAACATGCCTGTATCGAGCATTTGTGTCGGTAAGTGATTTGTGTTTTATATTTATTTTTCCTGGAAAATGAGTCAGATATGTTTTCTGTTTAGGTGTCGATCTTGTACCGATTAAGTCCGTTCACGGATGTATTTCACTACAGGGCGACATCACCGAAGAATCGACTCGTCAAGCAATTAAAAAAGAACTAAAGGGGTTTCAGGTTATTAAGTTTTTAAACTATTTCTTTTAACCATATTTCTTAAGTGTGATACAGTACTTCATGATGGTGCGCCAAACGTGGGAATGAATTGGATTCACGACGCTTTTCAACAAAATTGCTTGACTTTGATGGCTCTGAAAATGGCAACACAAATATTGAAAAGGAACGGAACTTTTGTGACAAAGGTTTTCCGCAGCAACGACTACCACCATCTTATCACAGTTTTTGAAAAACTTTTTAAAAAGGTTTGGTGCAATTATTTTTTATTTGTTTGAGATTTGTCTTAGGTCCATGTGTGGAAACCAGCTGCTTCTCGACTTGAATCAGCCGAAATTTTCGTGGTCTGCGAGAAATATTCGAAGCCTGAAAAAGTCGACCCCGATCTTCTGAACGTAAAGAAAGTTTTCCTTGAGCCAAATCTTGATCCAGCGAGGCCCAACAGGTACACGCTTTTGATAGAAAACTGACTAGAAATAATTTAGCCAAGTTTTGTTGTTCAACAAAAAACAAAAGAAAGTGAAAGCGGAAGGATATGCTGAAGATGAGACGATCACTATGTACAAAACTTCCACTGCTACTGAGGTAGTTCAAAAGTGGAATAACTGTAATAGTTTCCTTTTTAGTTCATTGATTCCCACAACTACCTGGATTTATTAGCAAAAAGCAACTCAGTTATACTGGATCAGGAAAAATGGTCGGCATCTCCGGATACTACTGAAGAGGTATACATATTTCTTATTGATCAAACTTTGACCCATTTTTTTAGATACTTGAATATCTCAAAGACATCAAAACTTGTGGTCCTCGTGAACTTCGAATTATCTTGAAGTGGCGAAAGAAAATGAAAGCTTTGCAAGAAAGTGAAACGCCTACTAATGAAATGTAGACAAATCATTTTGTTTTTAAATCAAAAATGTATAGGGAGGTAGAGAAAGCAAGTGAAGAAAAAACCGAAGAAAACCCAGAAGACAAAGAGGACAGAGAGCTTGCCGAGATAGAAGCGCAAATTGCCCAAGCCAGTGCTACAGAAAGAGCTGCACTTAAGAAGTATGTTTTTATTACATACATACCTATTTGCTTTTGATTCTATTTTGCAGGAAAAAGAAGAAGATGCTATTGGAAAAGGCAAAAGTTCTTAAACGAAAGCAGCTCAAAATGATCCATGAAGGTGATGAGGGCCCTATTGAAGAAATGCACGATCTTTTTTCACTTAAATCTATCAAGAAGGTTTTTCTTTAAAAAATTATTTTAGAGTTTTTACACCAAGCAGGAACTCGACGTTTTAAACTATGTTTAGGCTAAAATGTCATTGCTTTCTGGAGACAGAGAAGTTCCGGACTTTAAGGACGATGAAGATGAAGACGAATTTGGACTGGGACAGGGAGAATGGGAAACACATGGGTCTGATGAAAAGTAAGCAAGCAAATGTGTATTTAAAAAAATTATTTTTAGGAACGACGGTGGTACAAATGCTGCGGAGGAATCTGATGAAGAAAACGAACTCATTCACACGGAAGAACGGCTTATGGAACCAACCGAAAGGCGCGCACAAAATGTTTCAAGTTGGTTTAACAAGGTAGGACTTGAATTTTTTTATAGCTACTTTTTAAATTATTTAGAGCGCAATAACCGATCTTTTGTCGTCTGATGATGAGGACGATGAACTTGATGCGGTCGAAAGATATATGCGAAAAACCAAGCATACTTTCAAAGATAATACTGGTAAAGATAACATCTGCATATTAATTTAATAAAGTATATTCCAGTATCGTTCGAAGAGCCAGCAAAACGCAAAAAAATTGACGACGACCTTGAAGCCCCTAATATTAGTGATTTCAATCGTGAAATGGACGTCGAAAGCGAGGAAGAATATGAAGATGGTTGGTTTGTTGAATAGGATTCTTTTCAATCCATCATTTAGCTGATAAGCGTGTTGAAAAACGCAAACCGAAAGAGGAAAGCAAGGAAGCTAAAACTTCTGGTAATTCAAAGCTTTTAAAACTAAAATTTCCAGTTTAGTTTCAAAAGTGACTGAATTGACTCCTGAACAGCTCGCCTTGGCTGAACAACTCATATATTCTAGTAAGACGAGAAGTGAGCTTGAAGACTGGGGCTGGAACAGGTTACTAAATTTTATTCAGTTGTAGCTTTATATCTTAGGTACACTAATAACGACGAAGGCCTGCCAGCTTGGTTCGTTGATGACGAGAAAAAACATTACCGAAAGGAACTTCCGGTTACAAGAGAACAAGTGAAATTTTATCGCGACCGTCTGAAAGAAATTAATGTCCGTCCTATTAAAAAGGTAAGTATTGCGTTTTTGTCAAAAATATAAACCCTATGTAGGTTGCTGAAGCAAAAGCACGAAAAGCTCGGCGAACTTCAAGGCGCATGGAAAAGGCTAAAAAAGAAAGCCGAGGCAATTGTTGAAAATGAGAATCTAGAGCATCCGGAAAAAGTACGAGAGATGAAAAAGTGGGTTTTCGGCATAATTTCAAGAAAAAGATTTTTCTAGACTTTACCGTAATGCAAACAAAAAGGAGGATCGCAAGGTTCATTTGGTGGTTGGTTAAATCGGATGATATACCTAACTAAAATTATTTAGGTTGTGAATAAGGGCAACCGAGGCAAAATGAATCGGCCGAGTGGACGCTACAAAACCGTCGATCGGCGAATGAAAAGCGAATTACGTGCCCAAAAGGTTGGTCTATCCATGAAAATATAAAAATAACATGCGATTAGGCTGCTGATAAGAGAAGTGGTGGAAAGCGAGGAAGAGGTGGACGGGCTGGTTCTGGTCGAGGCAAACGATAAATCAAATGCCCATGGGTTTTTTACAAACCGTTTGTTGACCATTGTTTTGTTATGTGAGTTGTTAGTTGACTGCATTGTTATTTTTGTTACAGAATCGTTTTTTTTTATTAAACAGAAAATTATCTTATTCGGTCGGTACAGAAATTCACACTGGAACAAGGGGTTCTTTGACAAATGTACATGTGATCATCCGTGCAGTTATCACTTTGCCTGAAATTAGAAAAATGATGTTTGCTTTGGGTTTTTGAAGTATGCTTACCATTGAATACGCAACCCAGATGGGTTGTTTTGCCAAACGCAAGTTCCTGCTGCAGTGTTTGGATTGTTGGTTGCCCAGGGTTGGTAGGCTCCGAGCTAAATCAAAAATATTTCGTTGAGTAAACAATCACGCACCGCAGATCCATCATCCCATAAGCAATTCTGATTTGTGCATTGAAGACCAATCCATGTTTCCATTTTTTTGTTTTCTATGAGAACCTACTAATTGGATTTTCTTAATCTAGAAAACCTTTCGAAATGAAAAGCGCTTTATCCTGATCTTCGATTGCAGATATAATCCCTCCTTGTCCATGGCAAAATCTGTTTTCATTTTTTGTTAGGCGCATTTATTTCTGAATGTGCACACTTACCTTTGTGCAAGTTCAAAGAGGGCCGGGATTAATACAGGATAATAACAGCCACCATCTGGTGTATTATACATGCTAGCCTTTGCCGGATCCCAATTTGTCGTGCAAAAACAATTCGCTTAAATTTGTTCAAAAGAGAATTGCTTTCCATTTTCTTACCTTGACACAGCAAAAATTGTAGTTGACTGGTGTGAAGGTTCTCAAAAATGTTTGACAAATTGTAGTTTGGAGAGGCGATTTGATACAAAATTGGCACTGGTAGACCGTGATTTTGTACGTACTCTTAAAAATTATGTTTACAATACGTCAACTGCTTTCCGCGTCTACCAATGGTGATAATCTTTATGCCATCTTGTTTTGTTTGATTTGCAATTTGAAGGGGATCATCAGCTTGACCGGGACTATGAATTTAAAAGCGATATCTGGAAATATTGAAAGTTTAAATTGACTTACGAATAGGTGCTAGCCGCCACAATCATCACTTGTTTCGTGTTAGGTCTCGATGAGCCGGCTCTCTCGAACTCATCGTGAGCCATTTTTATGGCACTGAATCGGTAATATTTATGTTCATTCATCGATTCACAAACCTTTCCAAGTTAGTCGAATTCTCATTGAGGAATTTCGGGTTCCAACGATTCAACAGATCGTCCCTAGATGTAAATTCGGTGAGTTTGTAGACGAGCTCAGCCGATCCTCCATAAACAACCAGTCCTAGACATAGCCACAATGATATGCACATTTTCGAGTGCTCATTTTCAACAATCAGAGCAGAAACCCCCAAAACAAACCAATTCTTGACACTTGTGACACATCTTGACCAATATTCATTTGTAAGAAGGTTGAGAGTAAGAAGATATTCAGCTAAAGAGAATATTCTTTAAAACAACACTAGAGGGAAATGACCGATTGAATCCCACTGAGTGTCATAGCTGAGGATGAGTCGATAATAACCATGATATCTAACCAAATCTGAATCATTCGCATTGAAAAGTGGAAGAATTTTAAAAGAAACTTTAGACACATCACACTCGCATCCGTATTTCCCAGCATTATAAGGAGGGGCTCTGTAAAGTTATGAAACGATTGGCATCGCAGAAAACACAGTAATTTACCCGCTAGTGGTAGTTGTTGTAATGATAGGAGTCGTTTTTATCGTCGTTGTTGTCGTTGTTGTCGTTGTTGTCGTTGTCGTTGTCAACGGAGCTGTGATAGTGATATTCCTTCCAGGGGTTGTTGTTGGCTGAAATTTTTTCTCAGCGTTTAATACTTTTTCTTAAAGCAAAACCATTGGATGGGTGGGTAACGGAGCGGGGGTTGTGCCTAAAATTTTTTTGTTTATTGATCACACAAATCATTCAGCACCAGCCGTATAGTAGCGATCCGTGTAATTGGCCACAGAAACGGTGGTCACATCAAGGTGGCCTAATGATAATAAAATGTACATACCGCAAATACTCTAATAGACCGCCACCTGCATAATGACGGGCGTACAGTCGCGTAGTCTAACTTTAAACGTGCCGTTCTCCGCGCTGCTTTATGCTACAGTGTGCGTTTGGATGTCAAATGATAGCCCTTGAAATCTAGTACTTTTTGATATCAAAAGTGTATTTAGAAAAAGTCTAGGGGCAGAGAAAAGAATGATTTTTTACAAAGAAATTAGACTACGCGATTGTACGAGGAGGTGGCGCTTTATTAGAGTATTTACGGTATATAACAATCGGATTTATATTATAATAAGAATCGAAAAACGCACAATTAACCGAGCAACCCGTTGTGGCTATACACTCGCCCACTTCAGTCCCATTAAAATCAACAAAATTCGTCGTTCGATAAATCTATCACAAAATGTGTTTTATTTCTTTAATTTGTTGACTTACATTAGCCACTCCGTACCATGCTGCATAGTTCATTTTTGGGTTGTTAATTGAAACAATCACTATATGATAGCTAAACTTTAATTGTTTATTTGTAAACGATATCTTGTAAACCTTTCACCCGTTCTTCCCATTACATCTCTATAATATTCTCCAGCTTGATCTATTTCTCCCTGATCGCTAAACAGTTGTTTAATCGTTTTTCTATTCTGTTTTCTATTACTCACATTGATGCGGTGAAAAGAATGACTGTTGAATAGCGATTTCCGTCTTTATCCGCATAATATACAACAAGATCCAGGACACTGAAAGAAAGCTTTAAAAGAAAGCTTTAAAGGAAAGCTTTAAAAGAAAGGTTTTTTAAGGAAAGCTTTTTTGGAAGGCCTTGAAGAAAGCTTTAAAAATATTAAGTTTTAAATATAAAGCTTTAAAAGAAAGCTTTAGGGGGAAAGGCTTTAAAAGGAAAGCTTTGAAGGAAAGCTCTAAAGGAAAGCTTTGAAGGAAAGCTTTAAAGGAAAGCTTTGAAGGAAAGCTTTAAAAGAAAGCTTTGAAGGAAAGCTTTGAAAGAAAGCTTTAAAGGAAAGCTTTAAAGGAAAGGTTTTAAAGAAAACTTTGAAAGAAAAGCTGATAGAAAGGCTTGAAAGCTGAAAAGAAAGAAATTTCCCCTACCGAGCCAAAGGCAATGTGCCAAGAGTAAGATTTCCGATGAAATCAGTCTTGATCTGATCAATATCATCACAGATATGTGTTGGATCAAAACGCGTAAAAAACATGAGCAGTGGTGCCTCGATTCCCAACTTGAAATAAAGTTTTTAACGATTTGCTCACAAAATTTTTAGTGTCAAAAGATAAAAAAAAATTGTTAAGGCATTACTTTAGCATAATCTAGAAATCCAAATGCTCCAATGGCGATTCCATAACGACCCGCTCGGAGATTGTACGCAGGTAAGAGTTTTTCTCGCACAAAATCATATTGCTTAAATTGAAGCTTTTCAAATCAAAAGATTTTTTTTTTCTTTCATACTTGAAGAATGAAGGAATTGTTTTTCATGTAAAAGCTGAAATCCATAATGATGAGAACATCATTACAAGGAGTCGCATCGCCCAATCCAGCCCGGCATACTTGCCCGTTTACACCTTTGCAAAAGATATAAATAAGCAATGTTTTATAGAAAACTTACCATGAAAAATGAGAAATAACAATAGGATAATTGGTGTTAGACTCATCAATTGCTCAATTATTGTCAAAGTTTTGCAATTTTGTTTGGTCAAATTTTGGAAAGTATTGGTCTGCTTGTTGGAAGTCGGCTTAGCGTCACTGTAATTTTTATAGCTTTTCTTATCAAAAACTTCTGTCAAACACAAATATTTATTTCTTTTGCCCATTTGAAAAAAAAAAGCTTTCTTTTGAGCTGAAAATTGAAATCTTTTTGATGACACTTTACTAAATTGCTTATCGCATTTATTTTCACGAGAGTTTTGTTAGAATAAACATGGGTTTCTTTTCCTTTTCTTTTTTTCCTTTTACGCTTGTTTGTGCAAAGTCTCATTTAAACGCTTATTTTGGAGCAATAAAAACATCACTCAAATTAGCGTAAATGAAAGCGTATATTGCAAAGTCATTGTAAAGTGTATATTGCAAAGTTTTATCTGCTTTTTATGACGTATTCAAATAAATGCAAACTTTATTTATCATTTTTAATCAAACGATGCTCTCTTTACTGCCAAATTCCACTTTTTGAATGTCGTCTTTTCTAAAGAAGCTTATTTTTTTTAAATATTAGTTTTATTTTGAAGGGAATAGGAAGGAATTTAACAAAATAAGTTTTTTTTCGCTTTGTGGTGGGAAAAGAAATGCATTGGTGAAGAACATGCAAAATTGGATGAATGATTCTTCGTTGCTCTTGAAATCATAGCACTTTTTTTGTCTTTAATTCTTTTTAACTATACTTTTGAAGAAAAAAACGAATGCCTTTTTCAAGAACAAGAACGTTAAAGGATTGTTTTTCTTTTTGTTTGAAAACTTCCCAAAGCACCTCTCTTTTAAAATTCCTTTTCGAGGCGCATGAACTATTGGAATGGTTTGTTTTCTAAAGAAAGAAACCTTTTTGTTGAAGCTTATTTCTTGATTTCTATAACTTCTAGAATTTCTAGAATTTCTAGAATTTCTATAATTTCTTACCGTGTAATAAGTTGTGCTTTTTGTGGTGGAGCATCATATTCAATGAGAAGACAATCAGGAATGGCTAATTCATTCCAACCGAATGCCCATAAATCCATCACCTATAGAAATGATTGATTTAAGAATAAGAATTAGACTTCAATCATTCTCACTCTTCTCACAGACAAAAGCGTGCCCTCTTTTTCTTTCTATCGTAATCTTTCCTCTATTTTTTTTCCTCTCAATCCTACTTCACTTACATGTAGAAATATTCTTCGTATTTCCGAATTCATAAATGGTTCATCGCTACACATTTGATCTCGAACCTAAATCCTTTTTCATAAATCAAATCACCGTATAAAGCCACTTTGACAATCAATCGGTCAACGAGATATTGATTGAGCTGATGGAGTGTTCGTCCATTCTCTGACAAAAGCAAACCCATTGTCTAAAAAACTTTCTTTTTCAACTTTTCATTACTAGACTCTTTGTTCTTTTTCAAACCTTTGCATCTTCTCGATCGGGATTATTGTCAACAAGTGTGTCAAGGCAATTGAACATTGGTTTGATGAAAGATTTTGCGACACATTCGTCCATCTTCATATAAACCGGGTAAAGGCTTAAATGAAATCAAAGCGTTAAAGAGAAAGACGAGATGGAGAAACTCACCCAAAAAGTGCTCTAACCGAATTGCGAAACATGAGCTTGCTTTTGTTGCGAACTTCGAGACGATTTCGATAATCATTCAATAGTAAAGCAAGACAACAAGATGCTAATCCAAAATCCCCTCGATCTAACTGAAAAAAGATGATGTAAATCACAAAAGAATATATATGATTTTACGTTGAAAATATGTAGTATAATATCAGCGGCAATTGGGGCAAATTTTGAATCAGCCAACCATCTAAAATCGTACTCAAATGTTGATATCATTTCCAAGACACCTTTGATGAAGTTGCTCTGCAAGGGTTTCTGGTGATGTATTTCTCACAACCATTGAATAAGCTTGCACTAAACAGATTTTTCTTCCTCACCACTCTTATACACATAGTGATGGACTATAAAGTTTGCTGAATAGTTTTTGTTCACCTGGAATTGGCCCTTGTTGAGCGAGTACGGTCAACGAGGAAAAAAGAGTTCGCAATTGATCATCATCCATTGCAGCTAAAAAAATTGAATAAAAAATACACTTATATTGATAATGTTAAGTATTATGATCAACAGGATAGAGATAAATAGTTTTTTGACTTTTCAAGTGATTTCGTTTTTCTTTTGAGGGGAACAAAGAGAGATCAATAACACATGTTTGACGGTGGCCCTTTCTGCTTTCAGGATATCATTGTTTTTTTTTGAGAAAAGAATGAAAGAAGATAAACAACGAGAAAAGAGAGAAAGAGCTCAAGGCAAAAAGGATCAGGGCTTCAAATTTTTATTTGAGTTATCACCCGTATACACACCAGTAGCCGCTTTTTCATTGTAATTAACGTTATTTCAAGACAGATTTGATCGACAACGTTTGATCGACAACGAACTACGTGGAAAAAGTGATGGCCTTGCGCTAGTTAAGATAATGAAATAGTGATAGTTAAGATAATGAAATGATCGACAAGGCTGAACTACGTGGAAAAAGTGATGGCCTTGCGCTAGTTAAGATAATGAAATGGTAATCCAGAAAATTTTCTACACTTACCGCCAAGAATAAATTGAGAAGAAAAAGACGATTTCTGTTTTTTCGATCGAGTTCCGTTTTTCTCGAGTTTTTCAGGCATGCTTGCAGCTTGATCGTCGAATACAAAGTGAAGTGAAAAGCTGCTGAAACACAACTTTTACAATAGTCCCAAAAAAACACAATGAAAGAGGAATTGAAAGCTGATTCAAATGTCCTTCAATTTCTTGTTAGCTGTAAAGATATTTATTTGAGGAAGGCTATTATTAAATCTAAGATTTGAAAAATAGAGACGTTTTGAATAAAGGATGAGTTTGAAAGCGTCATTTTACAGTGGAGCTGTTCTTTTACTTTATAAAGTCAATTTAAGTGATAAAAATAAGTCCATAAAGGACACAAATGTGCAAAGAATAAAGCTGTGTATATCCTAAAAGATCTATCAAAGAAAAAACAAAGAAGAGAAGTATCATTTGAGACACGGAACTTGCCACAGATCAAGAGTTGACAAAAACGAAGAAAGGGGTGAATGAGCGGGGGCCATGGGGGATCTGCCCTGCTCGGCTTCTCTCATGTAATCGGTCTGGGTCCCTTTTTTCATGAAGGTGGTCGAATGGGTGATTGGTGAGGGTCACAGCTCAGCTAGACCCCATTCTCTTTTCTCCTTCAAATCAATCACTTCCTCACTCTTTTTTCTCCGATCTCCGCTATCCACTTGTGACGTTAAATCGCGACTCTTGCATCTGTTTTAGATAATTCATCACTCGCATCATAAATTTTATTTGGTCATTACAAAAAAGATGAATAAGTGCAAAGGAACAGAAGAAATGGCGCTGGGAAGATACAGAAATGAACTCAAAGTTCTCTTAAAACAAAGAAAAGATAAAAAAGGTGAAGGATGATAATCTCACATTTTTTATAAACTCGTATGAGGTCCTCAAAGCTTATTTTGCCATCAATGTCATCAAAAAAAAACACGTGTCAAATTTGAAAAAGATAATCGATGATGTTAAAGCTGTATAAAATAATAGCAAAATGAAAGGTTACCCTTTAAAAGCACTAAAGCTAAAAAAGCAACCGGTTCGATCACAAGTAAAAATTTTAAAAAATGGTTAAAAATCTATTGAGCAATAAGTTTTTGGTATGCGAGTATGATTATGAATCATAATAATTTGGCAAGGAGTTTGGAGAAAGAAATATTTGAGATAATTGATGGAAAATCGAAACAAAAGGTAAACGAATTGATTTGAATTGATGAATCACATATGAACGGAAGCCGAATATCTAACATGACTCATCGGAGCTCTCCAACGAGATGGACGATACTAAAAAAAAGTTTCCAGTGTATTTGATTGTATTTGTTTTTATTCACATAATAACTTCATTAATGTGTAGAAATTACTGATAGAAAACGGTGATTTATACACAGAATTATTGTTCATGTCCATAGTTTGGCGTTAATAAAATCTGAGCCTGTGCCTGAGCCTGAGCCTTTTATATCCCTATTGAGCTAACTTTAATCAAGAGTTGTCCACTCGGTGTGTGTGGATTGTAGTAAGCATAGGCAAGCCATGCGACTGTCGCCACCACAGTGACACAAAGTAACAACAAAGTGGAGATTCCCATTGAGCCACGAGCATCTGCAAATGTTTTTTTGCTTTTCGTTTTCTTTTCTTGGCAACCAACTTTTCTCCAATTTTTCCCCGTTTGTTTTTGTGGCATTTGTTGAAGCTATTGTCGATGTTGTTGAATCGTCATTACTAAAAAAAGCCATTTTCACTTTTCAAATATGTACATAAATCCTCTTTCTCACTCACTCCTCAATCTCATTCTCATCATCATTTCCATTGCAATAGATTGTTCGACTTTGATCTTTGCAATTATTTTCAACCCATTGCTGTCGTCGACGATGGAGGCTAAATTATTTATGTTCAGGGAAAACAAAAACAAATAACCCTCCAGAATCTGTGCAAAAAGGGCCACCGTGTTCCTTTTTTGCATGACACCACGAGCAATTGAAATGTTCAATGGTAGCATTTGAGCAATTACTACACGTTGTGAATTGTTGACATGCTGAGATTGATTTTAAAAATTGTGTTGTGCTACTTTGCTTACTGGGTTGAGCCTTGAGACGAATAACCGAATTATTGATGGCATTCTCATGGGCAATTTCAATGCGATGATACTCATAGATTACTCGCTTTGCTAAAAATAAATATTCACTAAAAGTTCTCATTGTGATTGTCACCTGCGCCATTACCCATTCCTTTTTTTGTGTTCATACAGATATGCATCAGAAATCCCGAGTTTTACTGGGTGTTGATCTTCGGAGATATCATTGATCGGAATGGGTACATCCTAAAAATTCTTTTTTTTGGTAACTATTAACTAGCTCAACCTTGTAGACAAATGTGATATCACCAGACTTCAAAAGAGTCAATTGAAAGTTGAAAGGTCCTTCTAAAATCGATTTTTCTTTGCATATTTTAATTAAAAATTGACGATTTTTATGTACTCACTAGTTTCTTGTCCTCGCAATTGAACCCTTCTCCACTCACAAACAAATTGTTCCCCATCATCGGCATACAAAATATCGGAACCATTACGAAGAGTGTTGAAATTGGCCATTAAAGGAGCGATATACTGTAATTGGTGGAAATCAAGAGTTTGTTTGTTTGTTTGTTTAGGAGATGCTTTGGTTCAGCTGATAATGAGTCGTTGCTTCTCGTACCTGCGTGGCCGCCAACCAGCTATGCGTCTGATCGCCAACATAAAGGAAACCTCCTGTCGCAATTGTGACATTTGTCATGTTGTGACCATAGAATGGGAACACGAAAGTTAGATTGACTCCTTAAAATATTCGATACTTAGGTAATTGAAATCTGAATTGATATCATTGACCGTACAATAGCTTTTCGGTGTCCATTAACAAGTTGAACGTGGCGACGATTTCCGGTAACATTTTCTTGTGTAAGCATTAAGTCTACATCAATCCAATTCTTTGTCACCTATAACTTTTTCAAATTTTCTGATTTTGACCAGAATTTTTACTTCAGTTTTATTATTGATCATTGACGTCATCATGTAATAGGTATGGTCCTCCTAAATGTAAACTTTTATTGTTTAGTTATTTGAGGAATGAAATGATCGTTACTTACATCGCCAACCCTTTCTTCTTTAACATCAGTTGGTAGAGTCCATCCTTCGCCTGCATAATCTCCGTCATCTTCTTCGTCTGTTCTCTCAGCCAATCGTCGAAATCTCTGTAATGATCTCGCATATATTTCTGCAATTGACTTCATTTCACAAACTCTTTTTTCAACGCTATGTCTTGGAAGCAAAATATGATCAGGGCCTGTGTCTTCATATCGTAAGTATATAGGCAAATCCAGTGCAACTAAAAGTGTATTGCTTAAACATTTCGATTTTTATTTGGTTTAACTTACTTAATATTGTACATAGCGAAACGAATAGCAAACAACGGCAGAAAAGCTGCATTTCTAAATAATAATTCTTGGAGGGATGTAATCGTACCTCCATTTAATGCCTATAGTCCAGGCTTTAAATTAAATCCTGTTAAATAACAATGAGCTACTGACTTCGCTGCAAGTCTTTGCAAAATACAAGAATGTATTTATTCATTCTTAAAATGGGAAAGCATGCATGGAACGCAGTAGAAATAATAGAAACACAAATTTTAGTAGGCAGAGATAAAATTGTGAAATTGAAAAACAAATGTAAAAATCACAACGAACAGTTATACCGTAAACTGTTTGAAAATAGAATGAAACCGTTTAGCACTCCCATGAAGATTAAACCAAATAAATTAATCAAAATTTACAACTTCTTGCCTACTGCACTTCTTTATTTTTCTTGAAGACCACTCGATCGACTTTTACCTGCAATACAAGTGCTTAAAATTCAAGAAGTCAAAACTTAATATTTTAAAACCAAAAGTGTTAAACTGCAGTTACTTGATTATCAATCAATCGATACATGTACGTAACAACTTGTTCTGGTTGCACATCAAGAAGAACGAAAGATGGAGTAACAGGGCTGAACAAATCAAAGAGTTATACAAAATGTTTAAACATACCCGTCTTGGATAACAGAAAAAGCACCGGTCGCACTTCCAGGATCAATGTAAAGTCTCTGTTCGCGTTCGCGTATCTGAAGTGATATTATTAATTTTATCAGAAAATCTTAAATATACCGAACAAACATGTGTATGACCAGTGACGAGGACATCAACATCGAGTTGCCGAGCAAGTACTTCCAAAATCTGAAGATGGATTTACAAAAGAATAATCTTTTCTGATCAATGTCCTTGTATGCTGAATTACATAAAAACGCTTTTATATCAGAAAATTTTAAAAGTTTGTACCTTTTCATCATTCCATGGAACAATTTGGTGACCATGGCAAATGCCTATTCGAAATTGGCCAACTGTTACAACCTAAACTTAATTACATATATGCAGATTAAGAGCTTTCAAG